CTGAAAACCTTCTAATAATTGATTTGCCACCCCCTTTCTGGATATTCTTCTAAAAGGGGTTTCAAATTTTTAACTTTGACTAGAGTATGGCCTATTTTCCAAATATTTTTAATCTGAATTGCTGATCATACTCCTTAAACCCTAAACCTGGTGACCTTGCTGCTGCTAAGCGAACATCATTCATATATTTTTACATGTCTAAAGTCTTGGTCGGATGCGCCTCTAAATATATACTTGAATAAATGATGAACGCATCCGTCCATTGCTGTATGTTGTTGATTTTTCTCACATTCTTATCACTTGTTTGAAGTTCACCATTTACCATGAAAATAGCATGTTTTTGAATATCATTTGCGTTTACTAACATCTTTGCCAGGTCTACATATTGACCATTGATAATTTTGTTCTTTACTTCTTGTGAAACATTTAACCCTAACGGGTTTTCTTAGCTAACAACAATCTTTGGAACATCTGAATGTGCATTTAATATTCGAATGGTTTTTACCATACCCGATTCTTTGTCCTGTCCTTGATCAATTTGGGTCTGCGGAGATTCCACGCTTGGGGCCAAGATGCCCTCGTCCTTGTTCACGGTTTTCCCTCTGCTAGGCTGGTTGTTCGTCTCTTGTCCTCTTTCAACTTCGGTCATCTGTCCCCTTTTCTCGGCAATCCGTTTCGATTTTTTTACTTTCGGCATTATGTCGGCAATATTTTTACTAGTATGACTGTTTTCTTTGTACTTGGAAATTTTTTTATCTTATCTGCTTGGCGTCAGTTTCTTCAGTTGCTGAATCATGGGAAAAGGAAGTACACTATTAAAAGAGCTGATTTACGTAGATTTTCCGGAAAGAAAAATTAATTCCGGAATAAGAATATAATAATGATTCATGCTTAAATAAACGGCTTTATTGTTAAACCAATAAATCTTATTGTGGACTCTTTTGGTGTTGTATATGGTTTGTTATTCACAAGAAAAATATTCATATTGACCGAGGCGAAGCCGAGGTCAATATGGATATTTTTCTGGTGAATAACAAACCATATTCAACACCAAAAGAGTCCATAATTGTTTTAGTATATGGTCGGGATTTGAATAAACAAGACATCATTTCGATCCTCCATTGTTGAAAATTAAAAAAAATCCAGATTACTGTTTGTAACCTCCGTGTTTTCCTTTCCGAGTTCTGCTATGTGTAAGACGTCCAAATGTTAAAAAATAATCCTGTTATAGGTTTGAATAATTGTTTTTCCGCTCAGATACGTAGCTCGCTGCGGCCTTTGCAACCATTGTTTACAACGTTGTTTGATGTTTTGATTGTGTTGTCACAATGCCGTTGCACGCGCATTGATCCCCCGGTGAATACGGCCTAAATCCGGTGAATATGTAGTGTTATGAACTGTTTGCGTTTGTATAGATTAAATAGGGAATATAAATAGACTATATAATAATTCTTTTTGTTTTGTGTTATGATGTATAAATCAAGAATACTTCTTTTTCATATGTCGTGGTGTTTACATTTGACAGATCTTGCTTTTCAACTATTTCATTTTGAACATTGTTTGATTTGAAAGTTTTTTGAATAAAATATAATCCTTTCAATTATAATAGCATATTTTTGTATTTTCGTAATGATGTCATTTGAATTTAATGTGCATCTATCAGTAGGTAAATAATGGTATCGACACATTCCTATAGCTAGAGCAGCGAGCGTCGCGAATCGCAAAGCGAGCTCAATAGACCATCGTGTAAGAACAGAGGAATTTCGGAATGAAATCTACACATACGCCAGGCAAATTTCTCTGTGAAACATTCCCATAATTCCTTTACTACCCAATGCCCTTTGCACAAATAAATAAAAAAAAAAATATATTAACGTAAAGGCTTTCAGTTTGAAGAAATCTTTCAAAGAAACAAAAAAAAAATCCCTGCAATGTTTTTCGACCAAAATTTCAACAGGTCTATAGTTTCAACCAGACGCTCGGCTGTCTCCGTAAGCTCCGCCAAGCTCCGTGACGTCGTGTGACGTCACAGGTAGTCAGGATGTCTCTTGCGGCTTGATGTATGAAGTGGATGATCAATATTTTAAGTGTTTTTGATGGAACAACTGCGCTCGCCCCAACGGTCACACCGTAAAACATATTATTATGATTATTTTTTGAAATCAGGTATTATCAAGTGAAGAAAAAAATAAAATTTAAATGAAATTTATTGTGAAGCAAATAAACCAATACTGAACAATCGAATGCTCACTCCTCCATTGCACTTGATCTTCTGATGATATCGAAGTCCGTGTATGTTCTGCTCCATTTATGTATTGTTTTATGATTTTTTGAGCTTGAATACTGTTCATTATCTCCATAAATTTCATTCAATGAACTATGGTCCCCAACACGATTTCTCAATGGATAGGATACTATTAGTTATCCAGGTTCAATCAAGGGTGTACGGGGATTTACCCCGGGTCTTATTCCATAATACAACCCGGGGTAAATCCCCGTACACCCTTGATTGGACCTGGATAACGAATTTATTTCCTTTGTACCCATAAAAATGCTTTGTAAACATCAGAAAATGTCTCAATCTATCGATTAGATAACTACGTACTACAATACATCGTGACGTCATGTTATTTGGTTTTTATCGTAGAGAATGTATGCATTGTGACGTCACGTTTTATTTACACCCGGCTCAAGTCGGGTGCACGGATATTTACACCAGACTTTGTAACCAATCAAAGCTCGTGTTACAAGTTAGATAGGAAATAAGCTATTTATGACATATTGTGTTAAATATGTACTCCCTAATCAAGGTTAGAGTTTTTGTGACAGACAAGGCGACTGGCAGACTGACAAACGGACAGTTTGATCTGATGATCCGCGCCTGTCAACGAGACGTGATACGACCCTTCGGATCAAGTTACTGTTATAATGATAGATTTATTAAATACCCCCTCATAACTAGCAAAATATAGCAAAATCAAAATCTAAAGATCAATTGTATAAAATTTATCCATAAAACAATGCAAAATAAAAAGGGGCTTTTTAATGCGCAGATAGAATAACGTCATGTTTCTGTGTACTACGTCATCAGTTTCAGAGAGCGGTGATATGGATTCAGAAAACCACAGTGTGGTGATCCGGAAAGTCGGATCACTACGTCACGTAATAGCGTAAAATCAACAGTAAAATTGAGTGATACACATTAGGTACATGTATATAATAAATCTAGTGAACATACATTTTGAATCAGATCTTGTACTTTACAATTATAATTATATGTACTATAAAGAATACCTATATGGGAAACAAATTGAAATGAAGTAAATGAATTAGGCATTTTTTGGATAATATGGTAAAGTAGAAATTGAGAAGAAAATTTCATTATAATAATTGTCCATAGTCGTCATATAGGTAAAATTCTCTTTATTGATTTCTATTATTAAATTGAGCTCTCGTGTATTAGTTGATGGCATAAGTTGATAAGAGTCATTTTTTAATAAATTAAATAAAAGAAATAAATTTGAGGGATAAGTTTGGGTGTTTTACTTTAAGGTCAGACGACACGTTCCTTAAAAATATGTTTTGTATCTCTTGGAATAAGATAAAAAATATTCATATTTAGCTTTCTCTTCTGATTTCTACACTGTTTTCAAAATGTTTTAAAATATAGGTACACCAAAAAATGGTGAGATAGCTGTTCAGAGGATTATCCATAAGGGTTATATAAGAAATATGAACCTTTGGTATCTTGTACAAATGGCTGGTAAGGTACCCTTATTTTTTGTGAGGAATCTTGTTGAAGTACCTATTCTTCAATGACAATCTCTTAAGAAAAATTATATATTTTTGAGGAACGTTTCGTCTGATCTTAAGTGAAAGGAAATTCTGGTATTTCAATCAATATAGGAAAGAAACTGAATTTTATCAAATTTGGATAAAAAATCCTTTCTTTTAAATGGGCATGTGATTAAGAAGAAAAACATACTACATGTACACATAGAATGTATTTTCGAACACCCAAGACACACATTTGTGTATTTAGATAAAATGATGGTGATGGAATTTTCACCTGATCTTAATGTATTGTCACATATACTACATACCAGGGTCACTGCTTAATAGACAAAGAAATCAATTCTGATTTTTTTAAAATAATTTTTTTTCCGCCAAACTTAATTGCTCTTTTTTCTCCAAAAAAATAATCTTATATGCAGCCTTATGAAAACTTTTACATTAAAACTTAACAATTTTTTTTTTATGTTTGGAACGATATCAGAATTTTACATTTATGCATAACTGAAAATTTGAAAAATTAGAATAACTTGTTTGTGTAATTTATCACCAAGTTTAAGACATGGATGTTTTTGCCGTCACATTTTCCTTGAATTGACCTTTTTTAAAAATAATGAATAACTATACATTTGTATATAACACAAAACATGTTATAGTTTAAAAATCTCAATCTTCTTGCTTGAATAGTGGTGTTTAATCACAGTGGTCGTATTTTACTTTATTTTTGAGGTGGGATATATTTATATATAAATTAATAAAATATACAAAAAAAAATTTAAAGGTCATAATATATAATATGGAGAAAATAATTAAAATGAGATGTTCTAATACTTTTGTTTTTTCAAAAATATATAACAATATAAATATCTGTTTTTTTTCTTGAAGGAACATTAAAAGTTAATTATTTTTTTCGGGTACATGTACTAGTATTTTAATTATTGTAATGAACATATGAACCCAGGAAATTAAACCGGAATCTAAAGTTCCATTATTGTCTTCTTTTGAACACCTTGTTTAGAAACAAATTGTTTATAAAAAATGTTCCTTTCCAGCTAAATGGCAACTAGCTTTTATTTGTTATTGTGAGTGAAAAGTCTTGGTTTCTGTAAAACAATATTGAACTGGATATCCCTTGTGTTACATTCTGTGAATGTATATTTACAATTTTAATCAAGTTTACAAACACGTTATGCTCAATTTTATACGTTTTAGGGAAAGGAAGTCTTCTTCATGTGAAATCCCCATGGAACGAATGCCTGACGATCCTGACGACGTCCTTTATAATCGGAATACGAACCTTTAAGGGGGCTACTTCTACGTATAACGTTATAGGTCTTCAGTGCAGGTTTCCGCTTTCCGAGATTGAATTTGGTGCTTTCTTTCTCCAGGTTACCAACAATCACTTGCTGCAATATTAATTTGTCTTTCGAAGTTAGTATATTGCGTTTGCAGACGTTTTTAACAAAAGTATCTAGATCCATGTATTGAAAACGGACTCGATACACTGCGTCTCCTATCTGATTTCTGATATTTTCATCCGACTTCTCATAACCTTTGACCTCACACTGACCTTCACCCCAACTTATTAGAAAATGATAAACCTTCAACTCCTCAATATCTAGGTTGTCTGAGGATAAAATTTCCATTAAGGTGTCCTTACTTATCTGTAAGGAAATCGGTAATTGTAAAATGATTGAGCACTTTATAAATTCTATACATTTTTTAGTCAGACGTTCTAAGTGAAATAACTTGGCATTTTCCAAAAATGTACAAACAGTCTCCGTTGTTATGTTCTTTTTTAAGTATGATATCGTCGCTTTTTTCAACGCCTTAATATCGTATTTCTCAGCAGCGTAGAGCGCCCCGATGGCAGTTTCTTTATTTACCTCTACTTCGCCACAATACACAAACCTGCAATTTAATGGGAAAGAAATGCTTGCATAAATACATATGTGCATTTTAATTTTAAATAAAACAAAATGAAAATTTCAAATACATTTTGCAGTAATCATTAAACGGTGAATTTTAATTATCTTTGGCTTAAAGGAATCAATTTCGTTTTGGGTTGAGCTCATATGGGTAAGATACTTGCATATACTTTTAATCACAAAAGTCAAACATTTATTAGTGTAAGAGACAAAAGTCGAAATAATTTTATTTCTAAATGCATTATGGTCTTGGTAATCTAGTTACATGTATTCATGACTTAAAACCTACTATATTGTAGGAGATATATTTCATAAATTGAACAAAGATCTTTTCCTAGACACTCAACAAAATTTTATTTAGGTCAGTGCAAGGTAAAACAAGATAAATGTGTTAAAAACGAACGATAAAAAAGACAATTGACGACAAAAAGCTTATTAAAAGACGTTTGCCATACAATTTATCATTCAAAATCCATTGTGATAATGCTTTTACTAAGTTCAATGTCTGCGTAGGAGTGGCCTGACAGAAAAGGAGAAAGGTTGTTTAAATATCATGAAAATCAATAAGAGGCACCACAAAAAAGGACAAATAAAAAACATTTTTATCTACCTGAGAAGAACATCAAACGAAGGTGGTTCAATGTCAGGAATTTTAATTTCGTTAGCTTCCGCCAGATCACCATACAACATGGCGTCAAACACGGGACTTCTGCTCGCTAGAACATACTTATGTGCGCGTACAAGCTTTTCTTCTTTTCCCACTCTAAATAAGACGTCACAATGGATCTCGTTTTCAAGCATGTATCTGTTACAATCAGCAACACTAAGGCCCGAACGCCAGTTTTTCGAAGTCTTGACTTCTGTCATCTGCAAATAGCACAATAAATGATAACGATTTATTTTCAAATTTCAATTTAACCTTTTTATGGCATTTTTAAAACAATAAGGACATTTCGCTATATATTAAAACCATTTTTATCATGAAATAAAATTTATTTAGACAAAATATAAGATATTCAAACATGCGTCCCCACACTATTATATATTTCTTATGTATAATTTCAAGGTTCATTAATGCTCTTCATATATAATATAAATGATTTAAAAATATTAAAATTGTCTTTTAGCATTCCTTAGCATTGCTTAAGTTGAAAGCAAAATCTTCACTACACTATATTTCTCTCAACTCATTCGATTTGAAAATATACGTTCTTGGTATGTCTATTTTTAATAACTCAGTCAAAACACATTCAAATAAGTAGATGTTACAGGGTTTATAACAATATATTCTTCATTATAAGTATTTTGCTAATTAATTTTCGTTATAATGACCAAATTTGTCTTTGGTAATGACCTGACTGACATGTTTCAAATAATTGTATTGCATGATTGTGTTAGTGTTATTTTTACGATGATGGGTTCAATATAGAGGGACATAGAAAAGCTTTCTTCACCAGTTTTAACCCTCTGTGTGTCCATGGTGTGTGAATTTTTCAGGATCAAGAGTGATATTATAATTTTAAAATGATTTTACAACAAAAGGAGTATTGCTCAATTATTTTTATGCCCCCTTAAACGAAGTTTCGGGGGTATATAGTTTTTGTCATGTCTGTCTGTCAGTCTTTCTGTATCTCTGTTTATCTGTTTGTCCGCAAAAGCTTTAACCATGTCCATAACTTTTGATTTAGTGGAGCTGTGACTTTTCATATTTCACATGTGTATTCCTTGAGACATGAACTTTCTTTGGGTACCACCAAATTGACCTTTTGACCTTGACTGTGGAATTTGACCCACTTTTACAATAAAAATTCAAAGTTTTACTTTGGCCATAACTTTTGAACAGCATATACCAGGACATTTATACTTCACATATATATTTTTTCTTGCAAGACCTTTTACTGGAAACCACCAACTTTGATCTTTTGACCTTGACCTTGGAGATTTACGTACTAATGAAAAATCTTAAACCTTGGCAATAACTTTTGAACGGTAAGGGCTAGAGCTTCCATACTTCACATATGAAATTCTTGTAAGAAGATATTTCATAGAATACGAAAAGCTTTGACCTTTTGACCTTGACCTTGGAATTTGACCTACTCTCAAAAAATAAACCTTGACAATATTTTTAAAGGATAAGAGCTAATGCTTTCATACTTTACATATTTAATCCCTGTGACAAGACCTTTCATTTCATATTAAGATCTTTGACCTTTTGACCTTGACCTGAGAGTTTGACCTACTTTTAAAAAATCTTAACTTTGGCCATAACTTTTGAACAGTTAGGGCTAGAGCTTCCATACCTCACATATGTATTCTTTGTAGCAAGTGCATTTATTAGATACCAATAACCTTGACCTTGGAGATTTCCGGACTTTTGAAAAAACATTAACCTTGGCAATAACTTTTGAAGAGTAAAGGACTTTCATACTTCACATATGTAATTCTTGTGACAAGACCTTTTTATTCAATACCAATAAGCTTGACCTTCTGACCTTGATCTTGGAGTTTTACGTACTATAATTATTTTTAACCTGGGCCAAAACTTTTGAATGGTTAGGGCTAGGGCTTTCATACTTAAAATATGTGATCTTTGCGGACAGACCTTTCATTGGATACCAATAACCTTGACCTTATGGCCTTGATATTGAAGTTATATATGTACATATGAAAAAACTTTAGCTTGCCCATAACTTGGGAACAGATAGGGCTTAAAATACAATTGTATTTCCAGTTAGGAGACCCTACTTTTGGTACCAATATATTAACTTTGCATCTAAGAAAAGTTTAATCTTCACTATGTTGCCATTCGGGGGCATCAGTGTTTCACAAACACATCTTGTTCAATTAATTCCTTCATGTAATTATTCTAATGAATATACTAGTATTCAAAAGATATTTTATTACTATGTAAAGTTTTCGATCTACATGAAAACATTTTTTCCCAATTCAATTATCAATAAGAAATTATAATTGTCATCTTTCATATATCTTTAAGGGTTTCCGTAGATAATACATTGAACTAAAAACGAAAGTAAAAAAGATAAGTAATAAAAAAATGGAAAAAGTATTTACCAATACAAAAAGTAATATTCAATACCATGCATATCTTCTACCTATAGACTTATGATACGTAACAGGAAGTAGGTTGCGCTTGCCTCTTAAAAAATCATTTATAAACTTTTAATGAATTAAATTAAACTTGAAAGGAATTGGGATAGATCAGTTTCTATTTTCTCAACAAGTTGATATATCTCAATTGTGAAGCCAATGTTAAATAATCTCTCTCATAAAAATACACAAAAAGTTATGTTTAAAACGCTTACCTTTCGTCCTTTGGCAAACAAATGCATGTAAACTACGGTTAAACATCCGGGTTATATAAGGTTAGTTTTCTTTGGAGAGTTGCCGATCTTTTGATTCAGCATATTCATAAATTTATACATTTATTTATTGAATCATGAATATAACATCTCTTATGCTAATAAGAATCACAAATTAAAGGGGATGACTTTTTATAATTTTTTTTAAAATTTAAATTAATTGACTTATATAATAAATTTTAATGTCACTTTACAAGTGCTTACTTTCAGAATTTGATTTTAAAAAATCTGAATTGCGTTTTCTGAATTTGAATTTTGAATTTTTGGTGCATGTAATTTTTACATAGACGAAAATAATAATATATACACTCTTAATAATAATTAATAATAAATCATGTTAAGGTATATTTGTATCGGAAAATAAAACAAATTTCTTTATTTAAATGTATATGTTTTTTGAATTTCTTTACTAAATTAATTCAAAATTGAACTCAATTATATACAACGTTTGCATTCACACAAAACACTTACATTTACAGACGTATGGGATCAGTATTTCAAACATAATTTCTGATATGTATATATAGGAAACGATTTTTGAAATTCCGACCCCCCCACCCCCCTCCCACACACACACACACACACACATATCAGATAAGATCTTCGAGTGTTAGATAAGATGATTTTTTTTCTCTCGAAGCCCCCTTCCCCGCCCACAGTACTGTTACGGTAAGCAAACAGGCAAAAGGATTACTTACTATAATAAATAGTCAATGTATCGTTGCAATACAGATCAAAAAACATAACACACAATGAAGTTTAAAAAATTGTATTTACATTGCACAGAATTTAATACTCTGGTAAATTGATGGATGCAAGTTTAAATATTGAAATAAATGCATGGATAGCTGGATAAATAAAATACATGTAATTACAAGAAGATAATTATGATAAATTATTAAAATAATTACAGAATTGATGCCTAAATTCCAATTTGATGTAAATCAAAAAGTTAATTATAGAATCTGTGGCTGATTGGTGAATTCATAATTTGCCAACACGGTAATGGTTAAAATGGACATTTCAAAATGAATAGTTCACATAATTACGGATTTTTATTATGAAATTATGTTTAATCATGATCTTAGTGTTTTT